TATTTAATCACATTAAATCATTATATTTAATACAAGATGGCACCTAAGCTTCCCTCTAGAGTCAAATTTTTCAGTAATTTATAATTATTATTGCTGATATATAGCCTTATTAGAACATAACTCATCAACATGCCTTATTTTGATACAACTACTATTGTATCACTATAAGGCATGTTGATGAATGATGTTCTAGTAAGGCATAAAGAAGAAATGTTTAATATATTTTTCAAGTAGACAATTTCTTTTCCCAACTATGTATGTTTGTATGTAATTAATGAAGAAAATAAATTATTTTGATGATATATGATATGATCTTATCATCAAAATAATTACCACTCTGGGGATCCAGGATTAAATCCAGACAGATTGAAATACCCCAGGAATTTTTTGGGGAATAGTCTGTTTGGATTTGTCCCATTCCTTACACCCAGTTACTTCATTGTGAGCCTGGCTAAATTAGTAATGGGCTTACTAAAAAAAGGTCTTCTTAGAACCCAATAGGGCAGAGAGCACTTAACCTGTCGTTACTTGAGGATGAGTGCTGCACTCATCTTTCATTTTAAAACACTTGTAACTTGAGCTTGGAAGTTTTGTGGCCACACTTTTGTCCTCTTTTCTTCTCAAGTATACCCTTCAAGAAGATACCAGAATCAGAAATAATAGTGATTGCTAATGCTTTCAGTACCACCTTTGTTTCAGTCATGTTGGACAAGTCAGTGCAGCATTCACCCATGAGTAATCCTGCGTCTTTTTTTCACATTCAAAGTGGTATGGTTCTAATTGCGAAGTGATATTGTATATACGTACTGTTATAAAACATAATGAAATATTTCTGAAATGGCTTAATGAAGAGTCAGAGAAAGAAAATGTAGGCTCCTTCCTTGCAGACAATTAGAGTGAGGATCTCTGTATGAAAATCCAGTGTTGAGGAAGAAACCAGATCTACCACAGGCAACATCAGTATCAAGAGAAAAGCGTGTGTACTGCCCAAAAAGGAAGAAGAATAGGAAAACAGCATTTAATAGTATAACATGTAGTATATTGCACTAATCTGCAGATACCACATAATAACAATCTTCAAACAATACCATTTTAAAAATCCAGACTAAACAGATTGAGAATTTGAACATAAATTATAATTAAGTTTAACAATAATTTCAGATATTGTATTTCTGTTTTTATTGATCTGATCGAGCTGATCAGATATCTATTTTCTGTTTCTATATCAAAATTACTTTTAATCTATTCTAATTAAAATAGTAAAGTAAGGTAAATATTAAAATGTGCATTATTTATAACAAAACTTCTTCAGCTAAGTAAAATTTTTCAAGACAAATCATTAAGAATATGAAAATATGTAGGGCGAGCATGGATCCTCAGAGGTTTTAGGAATAAAATTTAAACTCAAAACAATGAATAATTCAATGTCAATCAATTATTTCATCTATATCTATAAATGAGCATGTTTGTTTGTTTATTTGCTATATACCGCAGGACCATTTGACCAATTGCTATGAAACATGGCAGTTATTTTAACATACATCTAACTTAATATTTTATAAATATCTATTTACAGATAACTTTTGTTAGTTATATATTTATTATATAGTAATAAAATACTTTATATTATATAATACTTAGTACTATATTTTTGGTTTAATAGTCAGTCTCTCTTTTTAGATAAATAGAGATTGATGATGGATCATAAATGAATAATGTTTGCGTAAAAATTATGTATGATTTATTTTTCATTACTTTATTTAGCTATATTTTCTTAACAAGACTGATTATATGCTGTACAGTTTAAAGTTAAATACTTTAATAACAATAATAATAATACATAAATTTAATTAGTTATTCCTAAATGATAATTAAACTGCTTTATTTTGAAATTACTTGGGAATTAATTAAGTAAACAGTTTTCTACGAAAGTTTACTTGTCAATCGTCAATTAATTTCAGTGTAATTGAAAATAGCCTGCTACTATCAGTGTTTATCATTTGACCTGAGCTTAACCAGACATTTCTTTTAATTGTTTATTATTCTGTTTATTGATAGATTTTAGATATGGATTGTGAAATATTAAAACTGCATTCTATATTATAAATTTCTTATTCTAGATCTTGATAAAGGTGAAAATATATTCGTAAAGAAAGAATCTTTTTGGGATAATAATCTTAATAATTATACTCGGGAGTTAAATTTAGAATTTGATATTGATTATAATAACAGAAACGTTGAGGTTGAAAATAAATTGAATATATCAACTTCCCAATATCTGATGTATTGATACTAACTACGGTGATTGTTTGGCTTAATAAATTGAATTTTGTAGAAGTGAAAGAAGAATTATTGGTGAGTAGAACTAATAAAATTATATGTTTTGGTTGTATGTTTACAATATCATTAATTATTAAATTTGTATTGTAAAGTTAATGAAATATAATAAAGATTCATTTAGACATAATAATAAAATTTGTTTTATCTACTGCAAAATTTCTAGAAGGAATTTCAGCATTAGAAAAGGAGAAGATTTGACTGTTATAAATTTTTTCAATAATAAATACATCTAATGTGATAATTACATCAAATACCAAACAAGCAGTCAGATTCTGTGACTGACTTATACAATTTTATTTAAATTAATTGATTATTTACTTAGTCTGGAAGTGAAGATCGGATGGAGGTCCAGTCAGCATAACTAGCAGTGTGTCCGCATGGTAACCAGGAGTTGCACCATTTTGTGCCAATCTTTTCTTTCAGAATATTCTAAAATTAATTAAATTAAATTATTTATTTATAATTATAATTATCAAGCGTTGGTAGCCTGGCAACCCTCCTCCTGGCAAATTGCTTGGTAATTAACTAGCCTTAATAGTCTGATAAAGGAATTTGACTGTTTATTTTGTATTTTTTTTTCTTTCAAACTGATTAAGTTCAGAGGCCATAATTTTAAATATAAGTTGTTACAAAAAAGTATCAGTATAAATTAAATTTTGAAAAGAGGATTTTTATCTTTACTGTTTCTGTTTAATACGACATAGTCTATTTAACTATAAAATTGTATGAAGTTAAACTCATTTATATTACCTAAATTACAAAATTGATACATTCATTATAAGATTAATTAAAATCTCATAATATTTGTGACTCCTATAAAACTGAAAATTATGTATTAGTGTTATTATTATTATTATTATTTTTTTTTTTTGTTACTATTTTTACTCTGAGAGCACTGAGTAGAAATAGGGGAAGAGCAGAAATAGTATTTTTATGAAGTCATTCTGCCATTTTTTCAAGCCATTTGTGGGTTCAGTCAATTTCACAATGGAATGCTAGGGTGAGGGATAGACCTGACACATCTGGGACAGACCAGGCCTTGAAAAAAATGGAGTGTTTTGACCAGTCCAGATTCATTTCCAGGTCCCTAAAGTGGTAGGCTGACACTTTAACTCATGTTTTCAATCAGGGTGCCATGAAATATAGTACTGAGCACAGTGCCATAACAATTTATCATAATGTACATTACTAAAAATACCAAAAAAAGCAATAATTGCATTTAAAAAGAAGTAAGGGTGCTGCAATATAAAATTATCAAGTTGGAAAGTTGGAGTTGCCACTGTTAAAAAAAAAAGTTGAAAATACTGTCTTAATCTCTCAGCTATCTTGTCAACAATTGTGTATTATCTTTTCAACGTCCTGGTATTATAATGTTAAATTATATTGATTAGTTATTTTGAATTTGTATATGACAAATCATTTTCTTGTTCCAGGTTTTATATACATTTTATTTCTTATTCTAGCTTTTAGGCTTTTTTTTCTTTTTTAATATGCTCTTATACATGTAAAAATACTAGTGTCATTAGTGTAGACATTTTATTATGATATATCAAGGTACAGTTATGTTTAACTAAATTAATTAGTTAAATTAATTTTAAAAGTAATGAAAGTAAATTTCATACACATAGGATTTTTACACACTATAATAATAGAAGAAAACACCCAAGTTTAACAAACTGTAACATTATTAAGTAAGTAAAGGTAGCATTTACAATAATTTAAATTCAGTTAATTCAAAAACTTTTGAGAATTTGAAAAGTCAGACATTTTCATGTCAATGCAAAACATATTTGTTTGTGAGACATTAAAAACATGCGTGTTTAAATTAAAAATGTTTGAAAACATCATGTGCTCATCTGTAATTGAAAAGCAGAATGATGTTTCTCACATAAACTGTTCTGATGCAAAAGAAATTCAGTATGAGATAACAAAAAGGGACTACAGATCATTTGAAAAAGTAGCATTGTAATTATGCAAATAAGCAGTAAAGTATATAAAGCACTTACTTAATTCCAAATACAATATGATCAAATCTGCAAAATATACAATAAAAATCATAGTTTACCTGTAATTTCAGAAATATATGTAAAATAAGATTGGATAACCTTAATTTGACCCACTTAGATTTAAATTGTGTTTATATCAAAGTTCCAATATCATGCATTTAATGGAAAAGCATGCATATGTATAGATATATAAGATTTAGTGATAAGCATTTTATTCATTTAAATTTAATTCATTTTTAAACCAAGTAATTGCTTTTAATAATAATTACATACTATTAAGCTATAATTATGTTTAGAAAAATGATACAAAAAAATAAAATATGGCTGTCATTAAAAAGAAATCTGATGTACTTCCAGTATAAAATGACTGTACAGATTACTTTTGATTGTTTATACAGCACTGGCAAGCCTTTTAGATTTATTTGTAATATCCTTAGTTTATTTTTTTGTTAACATTTGTTGTACTTGAATCCTCTTCACTTATTTTAGGATGAAGATTTATAAAACAGAATCTCAATATGTTCCTACTTTCAGAGATAATTGTGAAATTACTTGTGCAAATATACAAGAAGGGACCAATATTACTGATGATAAGACTATACAAAAGGTAAGCAGAAACTTTGCTTAAAGTAACATTTTCTAGCTGAAACCTAGTTATTAATTTAATCTGAATATATTGAACCTCAGATTTAGTTTTTATTTGTTATAGTTTGTCTGTTTTATTTGTGATGGATAATATTAGATGAGACTTTCCATTTGTTTAAATGGGAAGGATTTTTAATACAAATTATCAGCTCAGTATTTATTGCTTAAGTTCATAAAAGCTGAACTTCATTGTACATATTTCAGTATTTGTAATATGTAGAGAATTTCAATAGATATTTAACATTTTGATTTTGATAGCTCAGGATTTATATGCACTTGTAACTTGTCCACACTTTTTAGCTAATTAAATGCTATTTTCAAGAAAACAGCTGAAAAAGAAAACTGTAAGCAGTATGCAGTTTTGGTACATAAAATGCCAAAGAAATTTCCAGTATATAAAATTGCATACTTATTAGCGCAGAACAGATTTTAAATTTTCTAACAAGATTGCCATGAAAAGTAAAAAACTTTCATCATATTGGGGGAAAATGCACAATCTATATTGGCAAACTATGTTGTAGTAACTGAAAAAACATTTACTAGAGTAAGATAAATAGAAGATTTCATATGAAATCTTATATCAAAACCATGTGTAAGTACTATATTATACAAGGATTACTTGTATAAAAATACAGGCTGATAAAAAAAGGATATATATTACTTTGTAAGTTTATAGAATTTTAATCAGAAGACTTTTAAAATTTGTTGAGACATTAATTTATAGCAACATACATCAAGCTTGTCTCACATTTGCGAAAATATATCATAATGAGTATAACAAGACATTATCTTCAGTGGTGAGTTGACATTTCATCTCAGTGGTGAGTTGACATTTCATCTCAATGGTAAAGTTAATGTCCACAACTGCAGGATTTCGGACTTGCAACTGTGGAACATATTCTACAAGCAAACAAACAAACAAAAAAATCTACAAGCAACTGTGGAACATATTCATACTAGTCCAAAAGTAAATGTGTTTTATACTCATAGTGAAGATAAAGTGTATGGTCCTGCTTTTACAAGAGAACCATCTACAGTATTGTGTATTGATGTGCTAGAAAATGTTCTTGTTCCATAGTTAAGCAACAATGACACAAAAGGATTAATACACTTTTGGCAAGATGGCAGGCTACTCCATAACTGTCCACAGATGTCTGAGATTTCTTCAGTTGGTGGATTGGTTGAGCAGGATTGATATCATAGACACTTTATTCCCAAGTTTGAGACCTTTTGATTTTTATTCTGGCATTTTATCAAGAATCTAGTGTTTATTCCACCCTTGCCTGAAAATCTTACTGGGCTCAAAACACAAATCACTGTGTCAGTTATTGAAGCAACACAGATATGCTGCTTTAAGTTTGGCCAGAAAGTAAATTAAGGTGGCATGTCTGTCATATCATCACTTTAAATTAAAATATTTATTAACATAAATTTGCATTTTGCTATAAATTAATGCCTCAGTTGATTCTGTAAGTCTTCTGATTATAACTTTGAAAGTTTTCATATAGAATTTTAAAAATTTTAGTTAATTTTTGATATTCTTTATATAATCATAAATTCTAAAACAGTGTTTCTAACTTTTAATTATTATAATATAACATATGTATTATTTCAGCCATGTTAATGTCATATACAGAGTCTTCCAGAAAGTTTGCTATTATTTTTAATTACTATAATTATGTTAATTATTGTATGACAAGTATGCAACAAATACCAATCTATTGAGTAACTGTCCAGGCTTCATCTCCCATCTTATCATCTACTGCTTCTAAGAAGCGTAAAAAATGAAAGTGGTGCCTCTGAAACAAAGAAGGCATTTTATGTTCTGCAGTTCGTAAAGCCGGAATTGCCCATCATTGTGCAATATGAGTAATCTGCAGGAGACATAAAACTTTTGCTGCTGTGGAAGGAGTGATGACAGATATTCAAATTCTTCCTGTGCTCAGTGCAGCATAACAGTTGGATGCAAAGTACACTTGAAAAAATGAGTGACTGTTTTCTGATGTTTTAATGTACAACTGGATAATTGTTAACAAAATTACAATAATTTAAAATGATAGCATTCTCTTCAGAATATCCTTTATTTAAAATTTAAATCAGTGATTTTCAACCAGTGTGCCACAAAAATTTTTGAAGATTGTTAAATAAATTATTTTTGAAAGAAGCCCAAAGAACAATAAGTGTACATATGAAAATTAAAGCCTCTTTAAATTGATTATATGAGTTTTTTGTTGCTATAATAAATAAACATAATGTAGTAAAAACTATATATTCATAAGCAAAATTATATGTGAATAACACCATGTTATTTCATTTAAAATGAAATTTTCTTTAAATCAAAAATGTGTGTATAATTGTCCATGTTTAATTCAAATTATTTTAACTTAGAAATAGTGAGACAATGGGCAGGTTTCTAAAGGCAATTATCATGCCACTTAAATGCAAATTAAGACAATGTTAATTGCTTTTTTTAAGTAAATGAAAATTAACTATTGTTTAAATAACTTCAGCTAAGGAACAACAATATTTTTAAGTAAATGAAAATTAACTATTGTTTAAATAACTTCAGCTAAGGAACAACAATATTATTTTATTTAATTCACAAAAAATATAGTCAAGAATAATTAGCTTAAGTAGTAAGTAATATGGTGATAGAATGTTTACAAACAACTTTAATTAATGTGACTTTTCCCATGCAAATTTCTGCCACTGAAACTTAATTTGTTTCAAGTGTGAGATAAAAAAGGTTGAAAACACTGATTTAGACATTCAAGCTAATCTTGTATCATATAATAATTTTAATTTATTCATTTAATTACTAATTGAAATTTAATGGATATTATCATCATAATCAGAATTTATTTAAGTTCTACTTAAATAAATACATTTTCAATTAATTTAAACAAAATATATACTAATGTGAGGTAGATAATAATAAGGTTGTCCAGGATCTTTTAGATGACAGTAGATATGAGGAATTGCATCATGATCTCACACTTAAAATCAAAAAAGAATTAATTGTTAGACTAAAAAAATTAGTTACTATTAAGGTTATTGATAAAGATGATATTAAGTTCATCACTAATTATGGTCATCGTATTCACAAGTTTAACATAAGGATCAAAACCCATAAAACACCTATTGCTTATAGACCTCTTGTTGATATTAATTTAATTAATTAAATATTATTGCTCATACAATTTGGAATTATTTGTCAAATTCAAACTATTTTGTCAAAACTGTTGTAAAATTTGTAATTGTATTCTATGTTATTCACCACTTGTTCACCAGATATTTCTTGTACCACCAGATATTTCTTGTACCACATGTCCTTTGTGACCACTCTGCACCCTGTAGTAATGCCACCTTCAACTCTATCGTTTTACTGTTGTGGTATTTATGTATAATTTGTTTGTGTAACATTATTTCATAATTGTTAATCTAGTGTTCTATGCTAATTTTTAACTGTTTGTATTAGTATCCTTTATGCCAAGTCACCTTGTAATATTATGAAGCTGTTTTATGCCTGCTTCCTTTGCACTCATTTAATGTTTAATGCTCATACCATTATAGCGATTTGTTTGTTTTGTATAGTTTTAAGTATACTAACCTTTCCATATTAATACCAACTGAAGAGGGACTATTTCCAATAGTCTGAAATGCATTTTGGTTATTTATGTTGATTATTCATACTCATGTAGTCATTTTTACTTTACACTCCTTTGTATTTAATTAAGGATCTACATTGATTCCTGAGTGTTGTGCTTATTATCACTGGTGTGATAAGTCATTATTATCTACCTCACATTAGTAGATATTTAATTTAATTATACCAAAGGTTAAGAGCAATCTTTGTAATAATTTTGACTTGATTTTCATTTACAGCAAAAAATTTTTTAGATAACATAGAAAATACTTCATATAAATTTTTACAAATGTAAAATAATAAATTTTTTATTTATAAATTAAATTCATTTAATAACACTTTTAATCACAATTATTTTAGGATATATTAATAAAGGATCAGGATGGAGCAGCAACATTATCTTCAATCAGGATCCAAAACTGAATTCGGAATACAGTTTTTTTTTATACAACAGACCAAGTATGAGAAAAATTAGTTTGAAGTTTGACAATAGCAAAATAGATTCTAAACTTTTACAGGTAATTAGTAACTTCTTTAAACATTCTAAAATGAATTTAAGTTAACATTAGTGGTGTTGTTGTTTTTATTTTTTTATTCCTTCCTGTTTTGTGGGCATTAAGAGGATATAGTTTTATAGTTGTCTTTGGTTCAGCCAGCTCCACAATGGAGGTAGTAAGTGATGTATTTGGAACAGACTGCTGATGAAAAATTTTTGAGGTTTTTTGACTATTTAAATTCAAGATCCATAAGTGGTAGACTGATGCCTTGACTGTCAGTCATCTGAAGTTAAAGTTTGCATCTCGTAACTCATTTCAAAATTAAATTTAACTTATAAAGTTTTTGATTTGATTTACAAGAAATAGATTTTATTTATAAATTAATGAATATATTTAAGTATTCATGGACTTATCCTATTTACAATTTTTGTAAAAAAAATATTAATAAGAATAAAATTGAACTTTCTTTATAGATTGTTACTACCATTAGTATTATTTTATTTATTCTTACTTTACATAAAATTTAAAATACTCTAAAAATCTTTGGGTCAAATGATACAGTCAGATTCTGATCAGACTACACTATGACTAACTAATTAATAAGATGTTTAATAATTTAATTAATTAATTAGTCATATTATGGTCTGATAAAAATCTGGTTGTATTGTTTGATTAGTAATGTTTATTACTGATGTTTTATATGTAAAAATTTTGAAAACTGGAATATTTACATTTTCATTTAAGTTCATATTTAATTTAATACAGTAATTTTTAAAAAATCATGTTTATTATTATTCATTATAATCTAACTATTTTTTATTTTAATAAAGATAATTATATGTCATACAATACAATGGGTAATAAGAAGAATTTTTCTAAATATAATATACAGGTATCCTCATACAACATAGTACTGCTACAGCATGGTTTGAAAATTGAGGATATCCCCTTAGAACACAACTTCCACTTTTACTCTAACATGATTTTGAAAGTCCTCTTTACAAAGTTTCACAATTTTTAAATGTAAACTTTGTTATTCTATATTTTTTTTGTATTCAAGTAAGATAAAACTATTCAAAGAACTGGATAAACTTTATACAAAGCTACAAAGAACCAAATAACCAGCAAAAAAATTATAAAGTACTGACATTTTCACCTGTGTTGAATGGGCATCCTCAGGCTGACTAATCCCGAAGCTGTTGAAACAATGAGGGATTGCCATACATGTGTGAAAAAGGAGGAGTGACTTAAGAAGGAGAGAGGGTGGGAGGGAGGAGAGTAAATTTACAGTTGGAAGAAAGACTTCTGCACTGTGATGAAAGAGTCTACATTATGAAGTTAATAGAAGTATTTTTGTGGGTAGCCTTATAAATTTCAACTTGCTCTAGATGTTTGAGAAAGGGTTGCTGGAAGAGCTAAGTATGAGGGTTGAAATCCACACTGATGTCATGGTCAGAGGCAAAGATAGCTAGTGCAGTGCTGGCTGATGGTTTCAGGATGGATTCTGAGCTGATACTTCTGATCAAGATCAATAAAAAAGTTGAGATGACAACAATACTTTCTAAAAAGAAAATTCTCTTGTTTAACTAAAGTTAATATTGACTTCTAATACAGCACTTTTAATTGTGATCGTTAATTAATTATTGATTGGAAATACTTTATTGATTGCTTTAATAAACATATTTCTCTGAGTAATGAAAAAGAATAGTATACTTTTGCTAACCTGGAACTTAACCCTATGTTTTGCATTAGTCCTTTGTTTCACGTAGCATGGATTCATGTAACACTGCACTTGTTTGGAACTTAACTATTGTGTTATATGATGAATACCTGTATTATATTTAAGTGTTTCATGAATAATAGGCTATTAGATAATAACTATTATATTTATCTCAATTTTAAAATTTAAATAAATTATTGGATTTAAAAGAAAATTTTATTCCATGTTAAATGTTTTTTTGTTTTTCTTTCTTTTATAGGAGATGAATCATGTTTAGAAGACTAAAGTACAGTGACTAATAAAATGTGTATTTATGAATTGTGCTGAAAAAATATTGCATTTATGCTGAGATTTAATATTAGCAGAAAACAATTTCACTAAAATATGGAAAAAAGAAATTGTTTTGATTCATACTTTAAAAAATCATTTATTAGCATGTAGTGGAGAGAGTGATTCTCTGTGTAGTGTGTGTCAGAAGAATTTTATAGGAAGAAAAATGCTTTAATGAACCAATTAAAAAATATCTTAAAAGAAATTACAGGGTAATATTTGGAAGATTTATATTATAAAATCTTCATTAATGAGAGATACGACTTTCAGCTATGAAGTATACAATATGTATAAAATGCTTATTTTAAATAATTTGTAAATTATAAGAATATATAATTTTTTCTTACAAATTACACATTATAAGATTATTTTTTAGGTTGAAAGTTTTTTATTCTAAGAAGCCTTTTTTATAATATGAAATTTGTAAGGAAAGTTTAGTTTTAAAAATAACATAATAAAATGTCAAGATTATTATTATGGAGAGGTGCTATTTCAGTTCAATTATTATAAGAAGAATTTTAAATAGAAGTTAAATGTAGTAAACTAGTTGCAAGTTTTGTAAGAAGTTTTAGACAGAAATGTTATTCTATTAAATAACATTACAAGAATAATTGAAAATGTAAATCTGATCAACTAGTCATTGAAAATGCCATAGAGATCAAAAATTTTAAAATAGCTCAGATACATCAAAAAAAATAGACTCAATGTCATGGGCAAGTAAGAGCTTCCAATATAAATTGTACTTAAAATTAATATTTATAGGAAAGCGTATTGATTATAGCATTGCAAGAATTAAAAATTTACTGTAATTCTGAATAATCTTTAACTAATTTTGGATCTTTTCAGTATGAAAATTACTATTATCGAAAATGTTTCATGAAACATCAAAAGTGTCATTCTGATAAAAGTCCTTTATAATATGAATGTATTTCTTGCAATGAATAAATACCACTAAAGATAAGTGCTATTTAGAGTAATTTTCGAATGAATAATTAGAGAGCAGAAATTCATGTAATCAAATGAGACAATTTGTATAAAATATTTGAAGAATCACAATAATCTGGATATTAAAATCTGATATAATAAATATCCAAATCAGTTTGAAATGTATTTGGAATTCAATTAAAATTACCTTCAAACAAATAAGTATAATTAAGAAAACAGTTTCCCCTATAAAACACAACCTAATATGCATCCACCTATCTGTACACATTCTTTATTTGTATCATTCAGTGTAGTTAAGAAAATAACTGATACTGAAAACTACAAATGAAATAATCTTTTTGTCACAAAGTACTTTTTGGCTAAATATAAAAATAGTTTAAGAAACAGAATATCTTATCATTGTTATTTAGAGTATATACATACACATATCAACACCACTTTTTAAATACAATCAGAAATGGACCTTATAATGCTCCTCACACAGTATTATAGCAAATAGGATAACAGCTTAATTATTGATTAATTTTTAAACTGTTTATAAATTTCAGCATTAATGAAGCATCCAGTTCACCACTTCTGTTTACAACTAGTGCATTATTGGTACAGAACCATAAGCTTTCTTCAAAGATATTTTAAAAATTAATTAGCTTTGATGGCTACAAGTAAGTCATTACTTTAGAATTATTTTCAAATTTATTTATATTTTAAAAATTATGTCATAAAAGCCAAAATTAGACTGCCATTTGAAATAGTTTTTATCCTTCTTCACAAAGATTTCATCTAATTATACAGTAAACTAAGCTTGAAATTATAAATTAATCAAATGGTAATGCTGGATTAAAATAATATCAGGCTGTATTTCGTCTAATCCCAATGAATCTAGCATTATTATTTGATTGATTAAACAATTTCCTGCAACCACAAAAACTTACAAGTATCTTCAATAGAAGAAATTGTATTTTAATGACTCTTCGATAAATTTTGTGCACTATTTTCAAAAAAATATTTTAAAGCCATAGTCAATCTCTTGTATCTTTAACAGCACATACAGATATAATATATTTAATATTTGCAAAAACTATTTTAGAAATTTGTTTTCTTCTTCAAAACATATCAATAAATGGGACCTTTAAACTTCTGCTAAGAATTTGCTGAATATTTAAAGAAATTTGTAGAATCAGTTTTTGTATCATCCAGATTATTGGGATTCTCTCATAAAATAAATGATGAAAATCTTAAAAGTATAGTGAAAATATTTCTGATTTCTATACAAAAATATAATAAAATTTGCATTAAAGAATTTTCATTTAACAAATATTCAATTTTAAATTTTTTTACGAATATTTTGAGTTATATTTTCTTAGAATGTTTTCACTTGAGAATAATAAAAACATATTTCTAAGAGTGGAAATTTTTTATGGATTTATTAAATATATTTAATATGCTTATAGTTCAAAATTCTATAATAATTAAATTTATTTAAAATGATGATGTGTAAATGCTAGATGTATTTTCAGTATGAAAAAACAAATTTTTCATTTTATTTATTTATTAAACCTTTTCTGTATAAAAAAAATAAAAGATGTTTATGCATATCTGATTTGTGGTTACTAGAACTTAATAATTCTATATATAAACAACAATGGAACTTTATATAATATATTTTGGTATTAATGATGCATAAATTGTTGAATATTTACTTTTCAATTAGGAAAATACAACAAATTTCACATAATTTTTATCAAGTACACTATAGATTTTATAAAATTATAAAACAACACAGCTTTAAAATATGTGTTGAAGTTTTTAAACATACATATAGCAAAGTTCTTGATAAAAAAATCATATAAGCACTTCTAAAGTATTAAATTATAAAGCTTTAAATATTTGAAGGATATATATGCAGGGTGCAAAAGAGATTTTTACAGCATTGCATCAGCTCATGTTGTGAAAGTAATCATTTCATAGTAGTGTTTTACCAGTTAGCGTACTGATACTGGCTTTTTTTTTAAAAAAGAAGGTCAGTAGCAGTATGCTTTTATATTCTTATATTGGCTTTTATGATCTTATAAAACCCAATATTTGTAAGGAAAGTATTATCTAGTGGGAAAAAAATCAGGAAAGTTAGAGTTGTATAACTTTCCTTGCAAAAACATTTAAAATTGCATATGGTGCCTTCTGTTGTTACCTTTTATTAATAATTATAAAATCACAGACATGAAGAGGAAATTATAAAATGGCAAAATGCTTAAATTTGAGGATAGAGATGAGTTTAAAAAATTTTAAATACTAACGAGTAAAATCTTCATTAAGTCAATCCCACTCGAGATATGACACTTGACCCCCTTATCTTCCCACCCCATGACCTTTAACCATCAAAATTTCATAGCATCACTCTCGTAATATCCAAATCCCCGTGCAAAATGTCAGAAATTTTCGAAAAAAGTCAAGTGAGTTATTCAGCTTGAAAGTAGGCAAACAAAATTTTGCTCCCCCACATCTGGGATTGTCGTGCCAAAATTATGGTAACCCTTGTTGTAAGTAAGTTTATTTGTCCCATATTAATGAATAAAAGTATTTTTATTGCAAGATGCCAAATAATAGTTGTAATTTACTAAATTTGCTATCATCGTTCATGCCTGGATACATTTTTGACTTCTTTCAACTACCAAAGCAACAAGAGAATTTCTTTGCCTTCTTTATCAGTTTCTGTAATTTTGTAGGTGCTTCTCCAATGAAATGTTATGGGTGAAGTTTATTTTGATCGAACTCTATGTCCTCAGTCCACATTTGGGTCTCGATCTCATCGTAGTTCTATTTGAAACAATCTCAATCTGAATATCAGACTGAAAATGTAGATTAACATTTTCGATTGAACAATCAAACTGTTAATGAATACCCAAAGAGCTTTAGCTTGACCCATTCGATTTGTTAAGTGTATCTCCGAGGATTCTAAAGGAAGTCCTCGGAGGTACACTTAACAAATCTTCTGAATCTTCCGGATGTCGGGGATTCTCCTAAGAATCGGGCAGAAATTCACTTCTTTCTGGATTCTCCGATTGTCGATGATGGTTCAGTGATTCGGGCTAATTCCACTGACTTCTGGATATTTTGGATTGACTGTGGGATGAAATAACATTTGTTCATCTCTTATAGCCCATTAGTGACCAGTGGATAAAACTCACGGTTTTATCCACTTAGTCATTCCATTCGGGTTGCAGGTTTGCACCTGACCAACCGGCTGGCCATGTGGAAACCGGGAAAACAGGAAGACAAAAATCAGTTTAATATTTAAGTAAAGATCTTCAAATATATAAAGGAAAAGGTGTGTATAAAAATTATATATTAGATAAAAAAGCAATTCAAACAAATAAAAAAATAAGTAGATTAATTAAGTTTTTTAAAGATAAACAAATTTCTATTATAAAAGCAGATAAATCTTATGCACTTATCATTATTAAAAATTCAGATTTACAACAAAAGAAAAGACAAATAGTAACTACAGATGAATATGAAGTTTTACCTAGTGATCCAACAGAAGATATTAAAAAGAAACTGATTAAATTAATGAAAACATATAGAAAAGAATTTACAAGTAATGAATTTAAGAAGATCGTCAATTTTAATAATGTACGTATTCCACAACTTAATATTCGACTTAAAACCCACAAGATTGGACAGATTTTTAGACCTTTAGTAGATTTTAAATATTCAGTATTGTATAATTTAGAATATTATATAAAAAATTATTTGCAGTGTATCCCCGACTCTAAATATACTATAAAAAATGCAGATCAATTGATCTCAAGATTAATGCAAGGTCAAAGTAAAGACACTTATAGATTTTTAAGTCTGGATATAAAATCTATGTATCCTTCAATAAATTGGAATTTTATTATGGAAAGTTTAAGTAAATATGATTTACCTTGTTATATCTTAGAATTTATTCAGTTTACTTTTAAAAATAATTACTTTAAAATATCTACAGAATATTATCGCCAAAGAGACGGGATCGCAATGGGATCAGTAATTGGCCCAAAGCTTGCCGATATTTGTATGGCATCAATAGATGAAAAAATCTTCCAGTACCAAGGTATTGTTTTTTATACTAGATATGTGGATGACATATTAGTTTTGTACGACTCAAATAACGTTACAGCTGAAAATATCAAGGATTATGCAAATAGTTTAAATAAGAACATTAAATTTACTTATGAAGAAGAAAAAAATTATGAAATTAATTATTTAGATGTAATAATCACAAGAAAAAATGAAACATTGCTGTTCCGAAAATACGAAAAAATATGTAATAATAATAAGGTGATTAATTACAAGTCATATTCTTCTATAGGAATAAAAAGAAATGTTTTTTTGATGGAATTAAAGAAAATATTTAATAGAACAACTTTAAAAAAATATATTGAAATTGAAACTAAGAATCTTTTTAAAAAATATTTATTGAATGACTATCCACAACAGCTTATACGTAAGTGGTACAATTCGTATTTAAATAATAGATATAATGTTAAAAATAATAAAATAGAAAACTTATATATTAAAATTCCATATATTTTCAAATTTTATGAAAAATATAAAACTTATATTAAAGAATTGTTCTCAGTCAATTTAGTAGGTGAACAAAAAAATAAATTAAATAACAGTATTTGTCTGATTAATAAAGCAAATGAAAAACAATCGAAGAATCCTTTAGAAGTTGCAGAAGTCGTATATGAATTGATGTGTACGTGCACAGAACGGAAAAGCTACGTTGGAGAAACAGGAAGAAAACTGGAAGTGAGGCTAAAGGAGCATGAGGCGGCAATTCGATTGAACAGAACTGAATCCCCGTGGCAACAACACTGCAGTATTAAAAATTGTCTTATTGATCGTAGTAATATTAAAATTTTGTATAAAGAAAAAAATTTTGTAAAAAGACGCATCATAGAACATTACTGTATTAAAGAACATGCAAATTGTATAAATTTAAATACCGGAGCATATGTCGATGCATGCTGGGATAACTTGATAAACTATAATAGTACTGGCAACTTGACAGTGTAATATCTACTGAAGAGGCTAAAATAGCGAAATATATATGGATAACATAATAAAGTAAGAAATAGTGAAAATAATTCTCTGGTTTTCTCTGTTTTTTTAAACTCTATCGAAGTCGGAATTAAAGAGTGAACGTCACTTGTGGTTCTTAGAAATTTTTTTAAACCGAAAAATTTTTAGAATTTATTAATTTTAATATTTGTCTACACCGATCCCATTGTTTTTTATTATTTATTTCATGTGGAGTTTTCTAGATTTTTTAACATTAGTAACACCTAAATGGGGTCCAGTCTTCATAGAAAGTCCTCTTGAGAGGCATCCCCTCGGCAGATCACCTAGCCATAACCAAATAAACCAATCTTCATCTTCCTCTGTATTTCTCTTCTCTTTTGAAGATATTCCTTCCTAAAATTGCATGTAATAGATTGATCACTTTACAGACATCCATTTCATTATTTTATACATATCTAAATTTGTATACTTCAAATTTTACATTTTATGATACAATTTTATTATTCGAAAAAATCAACACTTGAAACTTTTGTCCTCCCTAAAACCAGTAAAAATAGATTTTTCTCAGTTTATGAGTTTCAAAATTTATTTAAATCTATTATGAAAACTTAAAAAAACATTAAAATGAAATTAATAGGCAAAAGAACTTCATTTTTCAACAATTGATAAACTTATTGTTGGTGCTCGTTGACAATACTTTTCGCTGTCAATTGTTACAGAAGTGCATTGTTGAGTTTTTAATTGATGAACTTCCTTCTGAGTCCTGGCGCCCACCACCACGCACCAAGCAGTCTTCGTACCCTGAATGCTGAGAGTTCAGTCGTGGTTTCACGCGTTGCTCGAATGGGCTGGCTATGTGGAGTTTTCTGGGTTTTCTCCACGTCTGTAACGCCTAAATAGGGCCGGTTTCCCTTAAAAAGAACACCCGGAAGGCATCCCCCTAGGCAGATAGCCCAAGTGTTGCATTGCCATAACAAACAACAATAACTGAGTCCTGGCACCATCCCGACGTATCGATCGCAATGGATCTTCGGCATTGGGATCAATCTAAAATATTTAGATCAAGGCTGAAATGTGGTCCTTAGACATTGGGTTCAATCGAAAAAACTACTGGAACTATTTTAGAATATATGAGAGAAGAAGACATCTCTGTTCGTCCATTCCCAAAAAGTCCGCGTAGGGCGAAGACACAAGACACTAAGAAGATATTCCAAGAAGTATTTATAAAATGCTGAAAAATTCTGCAGTAAATTCTGTGATGTGAATATTTAATGAACCTTCAACACTGAAAACAAGTGCAAATGTAATGTAGTTTTTTTAATATAAAATGCTTTTATTTTATTGCCCACATGATCTGTAATAGAATATTCCTAAAATTTAAACAATGTCTAAGTATAAAACTTTTTAGATATATTTTATATTAACAATTAATATTTTATCAATTTTATATTTAATATTAAGTCTGACCTCACTAGATTTGGTTTTATTTGTTTACGATGGGCAGTCTGCTGTGGGAGTATGCCTCCCTGGAGGACGTTCAAAGGAAATCTGGCCCTATTTAGATGCTAAAAACGTGAAGAAAACCCAGAAAACTAGGCTAGCCCGTTGGCCAGGGCAGATATGACTCATGAGCCTCTTCTATTTTCCCACCACCTCAATCTTTAACCATCAAAATTATTAAATTTTGTTGGTTAAAGATTCCATAATATCCAAATCTCCTTGCAAAATTTCTTAACCTTTTTCCTTCCATGCCCCTTTTCTAATCAGCGAAGATCATGATCCCTTCTCAGAAACATTTTGAAATGCACTTGGTCGCAGAGTCGTACTTCACCAACGGACTGATCACGTGGCATTTTCTAGGTTTCATTCACATTGTAACACCTAACTACAGACCAATTTCCCTGTGTATATAGGGAAATTGGCCCCTATTTAAGTCTCCATTTTCATATGCAATTTACTCATTCTTCCCACCAGGTCACTTTGAATCTGTTCCTTGTTACTTCGTTCCAGATTTTTGTTTCAATTTAGGCTACTTAAGATTTTATTTCACTTAAATTTTCCTCTGTCAGCCTCAACTCACTGATACAATATGAATTTTGGTATGAAGTATACCTTAATTATGATCGAATGTAACTCTCTATTTGACTGAAATGTTTCGAAGATCCTTCTCTCAGATATTTCTGAAAGAATTCTTTGGCAGAGGGATGGATGAACCCTCTTTTCAATTGAATAATGGAACTGTTACCAAAAGTTTACGAGTGTTATCTGAACCTATTGTAGGTAAAGACTTAACAAAGTCCGTTACAAGATCTCACACCAGCTCCTCGCAGAAAGTTATTTACTCAAACTGAAGGAGCCACAGACCCATGTCCCAGACATTCAAGATCTTACCAGTAAACCAACTTTACTTTATCTTTGTTGCTCATTCTCTATTTGTTCTTTTTCCTAAGTAAATCATTGATTTCAAAATGTTTGATAGCCTAGGATTTTACCACCATATTTTTTAATTTAAACTGAAGAGAATATTCTAAATATATATTGTAATCTTATTGTCATGACTTAGTGCAGAATGCAGATAATTTTTTAGTCTATTCCAAATAAGTTGACACCTGTTACAAACAAATTTACAATTGAGTGATTTCTGCATCACTCCTTCCTTGTTTTTGATCTCTTTAATCTTGCCCTGAAGATGATCTATTAAAGAAATTGAAAACATTTGACATTTAAACTACTTTTGCTGTTTTGATGAGTCTTTTAATGATTATATATCAATAAAATAAAGACAAACATTGATAAAATAAGCAAAATCATCAAGTTATTAAGAGATACAGTTTTATCAATGATACAAAAAATATTCTTTCATCATCAACAAAACTATTTCTTAAGTATAAATAATTATTTAGAGACTGATGTATCGCTAGTCAGATTCTCGATCTCTTAATTTAAATTTTTCACCAAGATGCCTATATATTTCTATTTTTGTCGGTTATTATTATATAATAAATTAGTTGAGCTAATTAATTTATTATATAATAAAAATTTTGCAAGTTTTATCAATAAATTTACCAAAATACATGATCAAGTAAGCATAGTAAACAAAGCCTCAATTAATAAACAAATGATTATACTGGATTCATTGAGCTGTAACCTGGCTAATTAAATGTATAGATAATATGTAAGTTGGTCTAGTTCAAATTATATATACATTTAATTAGGCTACGGTCCAATAAATCCAGTATTATCATTTAAATTTACTTTACTATTTTCAAATAATTTATAGTCTTCAATTAAATTAAATTAAATATCTATTAAGGTAGATAATAATAAGGGCTTATCACACCAGTGATAATAGACATAAACACTCAGGAATCAATGTAGAACTTTTAATAAAACAAAAAGGGTGTACATGAGTATGAGTAATCACATAAATAACCAAAATGCATTTTAGACTATTGGAAATAGTCCCTCTACATTTGGTATTAATATAAAAAGGTTATTATACTCAAAACTATACAAAAGAAACAAATCGTTATAATGGTATGAGCAGTAAACATTAAATGGGTGCAAAGGAGACAGGCATAGAACGGCTTCATAATATTACAAGGTGGCTTCATGTAAAGGGTACTAATACAAACAGTTAAAAATTAACAGTATACTAGGTTAACAGTTATGAAATAACATTATACAAACAAATTATACATACATACCACAACAGTAAAATAATAGAGTTGAAGGTGGCATTATTACAAGGTGCAGAGCGGTTACAAAGGAGGTGTGGTACAGGCAACATCTGGTGAACAAGTGGTGACTAAATACGATACAAATACAAATTATACAACAGTTTTGACAAGACAGATTGATAACGTCACAAAGATATTTTGTTTTTAAAGATATAATTGTGCCATCCTTCATCAATTTTAACACCTAAATTATCGCTAATTCTATTAACTTTATTAATTTTTAAAATTTCTATATCTTCATAATATTTTTGTTTATAGGTGTTAGTATAGTCACACATCTATTATATATTACAAATCATACCTTCATGTCTTCCTTCTGTTCTCCATTATGAACATTGACAATTATGAATTTCCATCAATTCTTATTTTGAGTTTCACTTCCACAATTATAACACAGACATGCCCAATCTTCTATGTTTCTAGTCAAATTAAATCATTAATGGTAATTGAACAGTAACAGTAAATGAAATTAACAGTAAATCATTGACAATGGTTTAATCATTAAAACAACAAAAGTTATTTATAAATTATTTGTTTATCTGGATGGAAACAGGAAAAAATCTAGAATAATATCTCATATAGTTCAATTTTAATGATAAAATATTCAATAAAATCTTTGTTATATATTGTGAAGTCCTATTGCACATGCTTTGTGCTCTTTTCAGTCTGTTGTCTTTCATGAGCCCATACACTTATAGTGAGCCATTCTTCCACATTTTAGGGACTTGTGTTGACTGTTTGAAATGAATGATGAAATATAAATGTACCACGACAATAAACTTACAGAGTAACAAGCAAATTGAACCACTCTATAGTGTTGCAAAAGTGTGCATACAAAACAGGTACCATAGATTTTAATAAAAGTATTTACAGTAACTACATTACATAAATATGTAAAACATAGTATCTAATTGTTTAAAATGTACAGTCGACCCCCTATAACACTGTTGATTTTTCCATTTTATATGAATTCCATGTTGTACGAGTCACTTAGATTTTACATATACGTGTGCCAGGCTGTGAATAGTTCACGTATTTGTAAAATCCAAGTGACTCGTACAACATGGAATTCATATAAAATGGAAAAATCAACAGTGTTATAGGGGGGTCGACTGGTATAGCTATTAATAACATGTAGCAACATATTATTAGATAAAAAGTTTAAATTGCATTCTAATTTGTTGCATACAGCAAAAGGTTTTTTGAAGATACACTGATAATTCTCACGAATCAGAAAGATACAGTAAGAGATCATTTAAAATTAAATGTAGTAAGTATTGTTATTTCTTATTAGACTACTTAAAATATAATACATTTTATCAAAATTTGGAAAAGAACTTAAATAAGGCAGATTTTGATGGATAAAAGGAGGGAATTATCCATACAGAAAGAGAAATAGTTCTCAGTCTACAGAGTGTTATATATATTCATATGGAGATATAGCATCTTTATTAAAGAACGTTATTAAACAATACAGAGTGTTATTAAATGATTATATAATAGAGATTCTATGGATAATATATCAAGAAGTGGTTGGTCACAAAAACGTCAACATACAAACGAAAAGTTTCTCATAAATACAGTGAGCAAGGAGCCTGATTTATTTTAAAGTAACTCAAAGCACAACTTGAAGAATCATTTGGCTCTGCAGTACATAAATCTACAATAAACAGGACTTTGGATAAAGCCCAATATAGAGCATGCATTTGCTGTCAGAAAACTCCTCATTTCAAAAATTTACTGGAAAATGAATTACAATTTGTAAAGTATTATAAAAATAGCACATTTGGTACCGGAGAAATGTACTTTTCTAAGATGAAAGCAAATTTAATGTCTATGATAGTATTGGTAAAAAATATGTATGGAGGAAATGTAGGAGAAAGATAGTTTCAGGAAACATTCAAATATGGGGAAGAAATGTGTTCATTTGGGGGCTGTATGTCAGCAGCTGGAATAAGAAAATGGGGGCAATTACACAATTTATTAAAAAATAGTCTACAATAAAGTGTAAAAAACTGATCTGCCCAGGTATTATTTCAGCAATGTAATGATCCCAAACATTGTGCCTTATATTGTGTAACGATGGATTGTATATAATGTTCCTCATTTTCGACTGATTCTCCATAATCACCCAACATCAACCCCATAGAATATCTATAGGCAAAGTTCAAAAATTAACTTAAAAAATTTTGAAATCAGAGCAAAACAAAATTTAGAAGAGGTTTTAGTCCAAGAATGGAAAAAAATTTCACCTAATACACTTAAATATTACAAAGAAAATAACATTTAATGAATTCATTTTCTGATTTTGTTGTTATTTTCAGTATTTTCAATCTGTATGCACTCTTTTGTAACACATTGTATATAATATTGCCAGCATTAAATATTAAATTTTGTGATATTGGCTGGTTAATGCAAAATTTAATAAATGTAGAAATTATATGTATAGCAATGATCCTAATTTGCTTGTTAATTAATATAGTAATAATGAAATCCTTCCTGCTCTAATCCAGTTTAGAACATTTATATTAAATATTCATAATGATGAACTAGTTACTGTTTTTCAGTGGTTTTTCAGCTAAATTAATCAATGCATCTTTATTTAATTAGAAGAGCAATTGTGAAATCTTTATTTAAAATAAGCAGCATTTATATTTAAATTATTTAATAACCATTCATCCACACAATTTTCCAAATAACTATTTTAATATTTATTAAATTAAAAATCTTATATATTCTAATTATTATGATTAAAGAAAAGGCTATTCAGTTATATCATTTGCATTAAAAATCTCGATTGTAATTATTAATTTGTTGATGATTTTGATTATTAATACAAATCTATTGTTAACCATTTGTAGTCACGTGACACAACAGGCGCCATTTTTAGTCACGTGTCATAACAGGTGCCATTTTGTATCCAAGCTCGCATTGCACGCTTCATTTTCCAATCGTATTCTGTGTTCATTGTGGAATTTTACAGAATTAATTGGAATTAAACATGCCTACGTGCTGCATTTTCGGTTGTCGTCATCGAAGTGATCAAGGTTATAAATTATATAGAATACCAAGCGGGAAGAATGATCAGTATAGGAGAAGACTGTGGTTGAAACAGATCAAAAGGAGAGATATATTGACAACAAGAAAAGCTTTCCTATGCCAGGTAAGTTGATACAATAAAATACAATTTAATCATCAGTCAAGTGTGCATGCATTTTTCATTATACTTCGGCTTTACGATATAAACCGGGGTAAAGCATAATAATTCTAGAAAATAATCGACAACGCTGCTTATGTAGCAACGTGGAAACACATTTATCTTTTCTCAAAACCAAATGAATGAAATTCAAATGATGTACAGTGTCCGGTAAAACACTCACCGGTGTCTTCCGCCATCTTGAAAGATCAACGCGCCACTCACGCCGGATTTATTCATCTGAAATTTTTTCTTTTCTTAAATGCAATTTGGAATATAATTATTCAGGATTAATGTATTTAATAGAAATCTATGCGAACATTTAACAAATTACTTAAATTCGGATCGAAATATTGAATTTTGTAGCCATTATGCGGTGAATTCACGTTTCTCATTTAGAATTATTGAAAAAATACGAATATTTTAATATAATATAAATACTGTGAATTAATTATTATACAAAAATGATTTGTTAATTAAAAGTATTATATATATATATATCTTGGAATTTTCTTCATTTCGGCGCATAACTTCAATTCCGTTTTAAATTCGGCACCACCCGATAATCCGGCTTTTTCAGAAAAATACATGTTGATAATCCTACATTATAGTATTCGGCAAATGGAATATGTTTGAACACTCTCTGAACAAAAATTCGGTCGAAAGTGGATGCAGCCTTGAATGTTGCTGAATATCGGGAGGTCGATCACGAAAAATAACTTAATGATCAATGATCGATCAATAACTCGGTGATCGTTACAGCGAAATTTTCGTGTCGGATTAGATACTTGTTTTCCCGTGCCTAATACGTGTTTTAGTGCACAAGTTGCACAAACATCTTTCAAGATCAGATTTGGAAGCTTTGATTGATGTTAACAGGTTTCGGACGAATTCAGTCATTCACTAGGGTAGCAGAACTTCATTTTAGTAATGAAAAGTCCTGGTACCGACAAAGCCCTTTCTATGTGGGTGGAATCGTCTTTAATGTATTTAAGAGAAGACATATGTGTTTTTTTCACCTGTAGACTGGAAGATCTCGAGATGCGTTGCAGTACTTTTTTTGTTGTTAGTATTCTTGATTTGTCTGCCACGGTTGCTTTAATAGCGGCATCAAACTTATAGCCCGGTAATTCGGCATTTCGTTAGGCTTCAATAATCAGAAAAACTTCATACTTGTTTGTATCATTGCCCAATTTGCACAACCTGGCATAATGCAGTTATTGAAGCTACTGGGTATGGTCAAAAATTAAGACAGCATCGGCGCAATTATTCGTGATATTACAGGTTCTGACAAGTAGAGAATTTTCAGTCCTGCCACAAATAGGCTACTTATTGATTATTGACGTGCAAAGCAAACATAACTAGCAAAAATTTAAAAGACTAATAAGCAGGATTAAAATTAATAAATAGAAATGTATTCTGATAGTTTATGAGTTAATTATACTTTCTATTTGCAAAATTTCCTCAACCTCAACACAAAAGAAAAAAAGTGAACTTTTAAGAAATTTGCTGGATATCCTGAGTTAAAAAACAGCCAGGATCCCATTAGAGAAACTTTAATCATCTTCATTTTTACACAATAACATGTTGATTAAAGTTTTTTTTTCAGGTTTTTCAGCCAATCAACAGTATAGTTTACTCGCTGTATCCCCAAGCTGATTAGTATGTGCATAAACAAATGAAAAACATACAGTAGCTGCACTAGTATAAAATGTACATTAATATCTGCAATGTTTGGATCTCGTACGAATGATCGAATTTTGGAAAAAACTGGAAATTATCGAAATAGGTTAATCGGGTCCGATAAAAACCGGTTTTTGAATACCAATTTCAGAACATTTCGACATATCCGGGATGGACCAAACCTGAAAATTCCATGTGGTTTTACGGCTCGATCGGATTCGTTCCTAGGCTGACACCTTAACCCAGGAAATGTAAGCATTATGGCCGAGCGGTCAAGGTGGCAGCCTACCGCTCTAGGGGACATGGGATCGAATTCCCAGAAATTTTTCGGGGAGTGGTCCGTCCGGATATGTCGGACCCCGTCCGTCACCACCCGGCCGCCCCATTGTGGGCCTGGCCGAACCCATAATGGGATTGCTATAAAGAGGTCCTATTACTGTTAGTGCCCACAGGGTAGGGAGAGTTAAAAAAAGTTTTAAAAATGAAAAGGGGGGAAAAAACCTAGGAAACCCGAATCTTTCGACCCTTTTAAGAATTCCTCGACCTCGACTCTTTATCGACTCCTTCTTATTTGATAATAGAATTAATCCACACACAGTTTTCATAGAAATGTAGTGTGCTTATTCTTACTTCCAATAATAGAAAAAACGAAAACAAGAGGTTAAAGTACAAATTTCTAGCTTCGTTTCTAATTTTTCCTCTATGCTCTGTGGACGCTAAATGGTCCTATTTTAATGAGTGCCCACAATGGGAGTGTCGGATGGCGAGATGAGATGGACCACCACCCGAAAACTTCCTGGAGTTTTTCGGAGTTTCCGAATTCGTTCCCGGAGGTAGGCAACATCTCAACTATGCAGTAAGGCCATTAAATAATTTTCAGAAAATTCAAATTTTGAAGATAAATCTCCTATTTTAATGTTAACATCAAAAAATAAACTAATAATAATAATTTTTGTGTCACAAATGCGAAGGATATTTACAAAATGAGGAAATTAGAATGAGACCATAAAAAGTTGTTACGTTAAAAACAATTTTTTCTTAATTCAGATCCTTGGTTGTAAATTTAGAACGTCTATAAAGCTGGATTTACCTTTGACACTCGATGCATTGTTGTGTAGTAACTATTATGAAATAGCACGTTATGACAAGAATAATATGCTGACTTTATGAATTAATTACGCGATTCACCGAACGAATTTTATCATTTTGATCATACGAAAACTAAAATTTTTTATTTGACAATTGTAATGATCTGTTTTGTCAGTTTATAAATTATTATATCCCGAATACCAAACGTAAGACGCGTCTACAGAATAATCACACGTACTAATACACAGGCCGGATGGACGAGTGGTCAAGATGGCAGCCCACCGCTCTGGGGGACCCGGGATTGAATCCGGATGGGCCGAAGAATCTCAGGAATTTTTCGGGAGTGATTCGTCCAGATATGTCGGGCTCCGTTCCTCACCACCCGGCCGCCCGATTGTTGACCTGGCCAAACCGATAATGGGCTTGCTAAAAGAAGCCCTCTTAGTGCCCACAGGGTTGAGAGTTAAAAAAAGTACTAACATACATACATTTGCAAACATCAATTTCGCAATTCCTGAACTTTTCTCATTTACCCTCAAAGTAGCAAAAAATATTTGCTGCTTTGCCATTTAATTAGCAGAAGCTGCATTTGTGTTTTATACTTTGCATTTAATTTGTAAAGAATTTTCATTCAGAAATGATTCAAGTTTATGCATTTTTAATTAATATTTTGTAATTAAAATAGTTCTAGGAATAATAATATTAATTTTAAGCATATGAGAAATTTAATGATTCAACTAGTGTAGTAGTTACTTTTTTGCATATTTAATTTTGAGTACTTGCAAATACTTAACTTGTGTATATTCTTTTTATAGAAAGTAGATAAATATATATAATAAAATATAAATATATCAAAATGGATTAGATTGATGTAATAAGGGAAATCAACACTTGAACTACATTGCTATAAAGAGGTCCTATTACTGTTAGTGCCCACAGGGTAGGNTTTTATTTAAGACTTATCAAAACTTAAATAGAAGTTAATTTTTTTCTGTGTTTATGTGTGTGTACAATGTACTTAAAAATAAACTTATAACGTAATAATTATTGATATATATTACATTACAGAAATGTAGAATTTTACAAAATGCCGAGGTGTTGTAGTGTCGGTGGCTGTAGAACAAATTATAGAAGTGAAAAGAAAACTTTTTCTACCTTTTGTTTACCAAAAGAGCCACTGAGAAGTATTTGGCTGCAAAAAATTCCTACGGATCTGTCTGGATTAAAAAACCCTATAATATGTATAAAACATTTTGACGAGTCGAGCATTATTAGAATTGACAAATGCCTAGTGAAAGGTCAGTTAAAAGAATTTCCCAGAAAAATTCCGAAATTAAAAGAAGGAGCCATTCCGACAATTTTTCCAAATATATCTAATTATTTAAGTAGTGAAAAGAATACATGTAAAAGACTTGAAGATGTAGGGGAGAGAAATCTTCGAGAAGCAAAAAAACACAGGAATCTTTTGAAGTATGAAAAATACAAAGAAGATAGGACGATTACATATCCTCAAGATGTTGCAGCACATTACAAAGTAAGAATCCAGGAAAAAGTAATTGGACATTACCACAAAATGAACAAAAATTGGTATAGATACATAGCCTTAAATACTCTAGCTATAAATTTGCTAATTTTAATAATTAATACTATGCAATTTGCTACTAGAGTTAGATGTCATCTGTTATCTAAATTGATAATTATAATTTTTTAAATAATTTAGAATCATCTGGAAGAAAGGAACTGGCCCAGAGTGGGGGCTTGAACCTGCAACATCTGCTTGCTAGTTGCACCACCCAGATCCCAAGTATTCCTTCACCCGCTCAGATTTATAGCCTGAGTATTTAAGACAATTGTTTGGCTATGTATCTATATTTATATATTGGGCTTTGGGTTGTTAATAAACTTAAAAATTAAGTATTGTGTTATATTAATAATTCTGTTGACTTCCAATTATTTAGCCACTTACTATTGATAACAGTTTAAGTTTTATTTTATAATTGTTAACATAAAGCACAAGTAAACTTCCAAAGAATTATTAATTTTAAATTCAAAAAATTCTTTAGACAAGTTAATAACATTCATTGACTCATCATCATCAACATTGTTAATGATGATAAAGTTAAATTCAGTCATGTAATTAAATTACTATAATCCATTTTATATTATATAGCACATATTCCAGAACATCACTTATTTGTGAACAGGTAGAATTTGCTAAAAAATCATGCAATAATAGATGATATTGAGGCACACCTACACTTGTTGCTGTAAGTTATATTTACCCTGCGTTTCTTTATGCAGCGCTCGAGAAGCGCTTTACAGCGAACACACTGAAACTGGTTTCTAATTGGCCAACACTGCTCGTGACGTCATTTCGTTACACTCTCGCTGCATAAAGAAACACGGGGATACTCATCTTTTGCATATAATACTTTGTGTCAAAGTAAACATTTATAACTTTTCCACTCAAGAAATATAAAAAGTATATTAGTCAAGTATTTCTTTTATATACAGTAGAGCGTCGATTTTCCGAAAGTCAATCATCCGAAAGGTTTCCAGTCGGCAAATTTAAATTTTCGCCAGTGCTGTGGAGCTTCAATCTTTGGCTATGTCTTGGGCTACTCAAATATTTTACNTGTGTAGTTTTGTGTCCATGAAAATGTTAGTCATGTTACACATCCTATTGCTTACTCTGGTTTTATTTCTGTACACAGTATTATTGCACATCAGCACCACCTGCCTCAAAAATAAACCTGTACCACAGGCCTCAGTAATCTGGCACTCCTCTGTGCAAGGAATGGCTGGATTAGCAAGTCTACTGATGATAAACTCAAAAATAATACCAGTTAGAGCCATTTGTATATTTAGATCAAGCCTGGTAGACCTGTGCATTCACAAATGAAATTACTTAAATATTATTTTGTTTCAGAAGAACAGAAATTATAAAATACTTCTAATTTAATTTTTTACCAACAAATTTTATTAAAATATAATTCTTTAGATCATTTTAAATTCCTAATAATGCATATATCATGACTATGCCTATATATAAATATTGATGAATGAAGCTTTTTTTTAATTTTAAAACTGTTTTATGTTTTTATAAATAAAACAATATAAATTGTTCATTTGTGTTTATTATTCTCATTTGTTCATGTTGCAAACAAGTTGCAATGCTGTAAAATTATTAAATAAAATTAATTCAAGTTTCAAAGAATCAGTTTAATCATTATTTAATTAGATTTTTATACTCTAATATTTGTATATTATAAAACATGATTAATCTATATGTATATAAAATTACATGTCCTGCCTGACTGATTGATTGATTCGTCATCGCCCAGAGCAAACTGCTGAACCTAAAGAGATGAAATTTGGTACACAGTTAGGATACGTCATGAAAATGCACACCAAGAAGGGATTTTTCGAAATTCCCTCGCAGGGGAAGAGGGAGAGAATTAAGGCTTAAAAAGTCTTAGCCCCGAAAGGCAGTACCACAAATGTGGTTTACAAAGAGGTACTGGGGTAATTGAAACTCTACTTTTTAGTAAATATTTATACGTTAGGAATTTTCAGATAACATCATTTATGTTTTGAAAAAAAAATTGAACTCAGATTTATCGTATCTCGGAATCCCATAATATTTGAAACTTGAATTTAGGTGCATTAGCAGTCCATAGTTTGAACAAAAATCAGTAATTTTACCAAATTAGTAACAACTAATGATTGAGAATCTTAGTGAAGTACTGAGGGAGGGTTATTTCTATCAAATTGCAAAANTATTTCTGTGTGCATATGTTTATGTGTTATTTAACATATTTTTATATTAATTTCTATAATAATATAACTTAAAATTAAAGTAAAATTTGTTTATTTTTGGTTGCGTTCCCCTATCCCTATTTACTCTATGTTTAACGCTGTTTCGCTTAGCGCTTTGTTGTCTAGGAACGCATCCCCCGCGTTAAGTGGGGTCTTACTGTGTGTATAACAAAATATCTTTTGCAAAGGAATACAGATAGTACAGTACAGTGCTGACCAAATTATTGAACATCATGGAACATTAGCTAATGCCCACATAAACTGAACTTCTGAAATGTGGGAGAAGGCTATCTTTTTCGATGTGTCGATTTTCGGCATTATTGACGAGTATTTGCAGTATGTCAGGAGTTGGAGAGGAGTTTCAAGAAAATTATGTAGTACAAAAGGTTAACATCGTGTTTTTTAAAAATAAATGAAAATGGTTTGAGTATGTAAGTAGTTAAACCAGTGTTTCCCAAAGTGGGCGCTAATCTCCTTGAGGGTGGTAAAAGATTGGAGCTCTGGAAGCCATTGGATGATGAGTGTTGAAGTAAAGGGGGAAAAATTCATTTTGAAACAATCAACAAAAATATAAGAAATGTATGCGCTAAAGGGGGGCGGTAGTACGAAAAATTTGAGAAACACTGAGTTAAACGGTTGAAACATTGAAATTAGAAGGTAAAATGTTTAATGGCTTTTAGTAGATGTCATTGTATATTGTTGTGTTTATGTATTTACTAGTGTATAGGAAAATTGTATGTGCCTTGTTTAGCTTGTATAGAAGAAAACCCACCGAGGAGAGAAATATTGTAATTTCCGAAATGCATATGGGTAAAATAAAGTTGTTTATTGGTTAGAGATTACGGCGTCAGTGGATGTGATAATTCATAGAATATTAAGGTATTTTGATCCTTTATATACTGATTCCGGAATAGAAGCACAGTATATAGATTACAGATTAAAGTATATTCGTCTGTTCGTTGTAATAATTTAATAATGCCTAGTGATTGATTGTTAAAATATGGCAACGCAACACTTGGGCAATCTGCCTAGGGAGGTGTTTTAAGAGTAACTGGCCCCTATTCAGGTGTTACAGACGTGGAAAAGATACCCGGAAAACTCCACGTAGCCAGCCCAGGCGAGGCGACTCAATCCCATTGTTCAGGTGACGGAACTGCTTGGCCACTGTAGGATATGCCTAGTGACATAACCCGAACTGAAAGTGAAATTTCTAGAAGTAGGAAATTTTGCAGTGTACCATAAAAGCTAAGCAATTCCAGAAAAGTTAAGCGAATTTATTCGTTTTAATAAAGGATTTTTCAATTGTTATTTTCAAAAAAGCGCCTCGTGGCGTCAAAATTGTAAACTACAGTGCAAAACAATCCGCCATTTTTGGTCGAACTATGGTGTCATAGGTAGCATTGTGTTGGATTTTTAACGTCAGATTTCGATAAGATGGCCGGTTGCAGTGCGATGAATTGTTCAAATTCTTCAAAGAAAGGTTTTAAACTACATAAATTTCCTAGAAATAAAGAACGATGCCGAATATGGCTTCAGAATTGTCGCAGAGAGAGATGGCTTCCGACTATGAATGCCAAACTTTGCAATGTAAGTTTAAGATCATTATAATTTTATTGTGTAGAAACACATTAAAGAACTATAAAACCTCATAAACAAATTTTCTTAGATGAGTTTTAGTTATAAGGCGAAATCCGATATGAACATGTTCTGTAGACAACAACAAATGAATCAATATACTAGTTTCAGTGTGTTGTGGTGCCATCTATCCGCGAACACTCGAAGCACACAATAAGGGTATAATCATAGCTGCCACCATAGAAAATGCAAGAGTAATTGCTGAGAAAAGGACTTGCTGTGTGCCAAGATGTTCTAATTCACCGTGTAACACTGGCAAAGATGTAACATTTCATTGCTTTCCTAAAAGTACAAAGCTGAAAGCTATTTGGCGAAACAAAATAATGAGAGCTAACTTCAGCCCTAACAAAAATACAAAAATATGCTCAAAGCATTTTCGGTCCTTTGATTTCCGTCCGTTGCTTCATTCGAAAAGAAAATATTTGAAGGATTCCGCTTTTCGTTCTCAATTTCCATCGGCATTTAATACTAAGGCGAGTTCTTTTAAAATGTAATATGATCCAGTAAATAATTGAAGTTTGTTTCTCATATATATTACTACTGGTAAATAATAGTAATTTACTATGAAATATGTAAATTATGGAATTACCTTTTGTTTCGATTAAAGACATAATTTTTTTTCAGGATGTTTGTATCTTGCTTTTAATTGCCTATTTCTCGTTGAAAAAATTAAATTGGCTGATCTTAAGCATGAAAAATGATCATCCAAAAGATATACCTTTGAATGACTTCATATTTATGTGCTTGATAACAGTAGCTTCAGAAATGATAAGACATTTTCAGTCTATACAATGTTTGTTTTTATAAATAGCACAGGCAGCCGTTCAGTTGCCGTACTTTAAATCCTTATGATGGGCTTATAACTTTCCGACTAGATGGCAGCACGACTAATCCAACTCAATTATCTGGCATTGTCATTAGTGTGATTGCCTGTGTAGTTTTGTATCCATGAAAATGTTAGTCATGTTACACATCCTATTGCTTACTCTGGTTTTATTTCTGTACACAGTATTATTGCACATCAGCACCACCTGCCTCAAAAATAAACCTGTACCACAGGCCTCAGTAATCTGGCACTCC